GTAAGATCTTGTTAAGCGACGTCTCCGGTCTCGGTGTTCTCGGGCTCCAAAACAATTGTCTATTACGGTTTTGGGTAAGGTGTGTGAGATTGACATGAAGACCAGATCAGAGTGAGTTGAGGCGCATGTCTGTAAACTCATACGTTAGGGCTCGGCTCTCATTCAAATCTCACCTGAGAAAGCAGCAATAAGATATACAACCCCAAAGTGCGATCTTCACCACGTCAACCGGTCGAAATGAGCCCAATCAAACCTCACCCACAGCGAGCCATCTATGCGACAGCAGTTCACTCCAATGACTCGGGATGCAACCAGCTGACGGCCTGCTGCAGCCTCCACGTCGTTCATACTTCCAAAAACGAACAAATTCGTGACTCTTTCGCACTCAATTATTATCGAGAATCAAGGGTAATCCGTGTTCTATGCAATTCCGTTGCCTGCCGAATTCTCCCCCATTGCCCTGAACGCCGCTAGTGACCCCATTTCCGTTACCGAACCCGCCCTATCCAAAACTTTTCCGTCAAAAGAAAAACAGTAGAACCACCTCATTCATCTAAAAAGGGGCTTTCATAGATGATTCACGGATGATGACGTCTTAGTGGTGGTGAACAGGGTTAAGGTCGCGGAACTCGCCCCTGAGGCTGTCGACCCCGTTTGCTCTAACCTCCTCGACAAGCTTGGCGACCTCGGGCGCGATGACAGCCTCGTCAAAGCCAAAGTACTTGTACGCGTCGGGGCCGGGAAGCGAGTGTCCGAAAGTGCTCATCGAGTAGCCGGCGTCGGCGTAGCGCTCCCACCCATTGACGGCGTAGGCCTCGATAACGACGCGCGGCGCCTTGGAGCGGTACTGCAACACCTCGCGCTTATACTCAATTGGCTGCTGGTCAAAGACGCGCTGGCACGGGAAGCTGACGATGCGGGCCTTGATGCCGTGCTTCTCTGCGAGTAGCTTGGCCGTCTTGACGGCAAAGACCATTTCCGCGCCGACGCCGATAAGTGTGACGTCGGCGTCCTGGGCCTCCTGGAAGACGTAGGCGCCCTTTTGCACGCCGTCGCGCGAGGAGAATTGAGGGTATTGCTCGAGGTTCTGGCGGGAGAGGGAGATGATTGTGGGGGCATCCTTGGCCTCCATGGCCAGAATAAAGGCGCCAGCCGTCTCTTCGCTGTCACAGGGTCGGATGTAGAGGAGATTCGGCATCGCGCGGTAGAGGGCCGGCAGGGCGATGGGCTGGTGGGTGGGGCCGTCTTCACCGGTTCCGATCGAGTCGTGCGTCGCGATGTGAATCTGTTGGAGGCGCTGGAGGGCACCCATACGCACACCAGGGGCGGCGTACTAATGAGACAGGTCAGAACCCATTCGGAAGTTATGGTGGACAGATTCAAGAGGAGCGCTTGAGAGAGATAGAGAGGGAGCTTACGATGTAGAACATGAAGAAACTAGAGGTGACAGGGAGGATGGTGCCCTTGTTGAAGGCAGCCAGACCGTTGGAGATGGAAGCCATAGCATGCTCACGGATGCCGTAGTGGATGTAGCGGCCAGAGTAGTCGCCATTAATGCCGCATGAAGTTCGCAAGTCAGGCTGAGGATTGTCAGTATCATCCGTGAGAGTAGCGCCATCATCATCTACTTACGTTCTGGAAGTCAATTTTGCCCTTCCAAATCATGTTCACCGAGGGAGACAAGTCCGCAGTACCGACCATCAGGTTGTTCACCCCAGCGGCGATGGGGTTGCAGACCAAACCTGCGGACTTTCTTGAAGGAGTAGGAGTCGTAGGGAAGTCCTCTTTGGCGGGGACAAACTTGCGCCAGTCGTCGACCCATTCTCCAGAAACACGCTTCTTGAACTCAGCAGCGAGCTCCGGGTGCTCACGAGAGTATCCCTCAACTAGCTGGTTCCACTCGGCCTCGATCTTCTCACCGCGGGACACGGCCTGACGGAAGTAGTCATAGACCTGGTCCGACACAACAAAGTGCTTCTCAGGGTCCATGCCAAAGGTCTTCTTAATGTTAGCGACGTCGGCAGCACCAAACGCGGCACCGTGAGCCTTGGCGTCACCAGCAACGGCGCTGCCAACTCCAATGACGGTGTGAATGTTGATGAAGGTAGGCTTGTCCTTGCTGTTGCGAGCCTGGTCCATGGCGCGGACGATGGCCTCGAGGTCCCAGTTGCCGTCCTCGATCTCAATGACGTTCCAGCCACAGGCGCGCATCTTTGTGTTGACGTCCTCGGTGTTGCAGAGGTCGACGCTTCCGTCGCAGGTGATTTGGTTATTGTCGTACATGACGACGAGGTTGTTCAGCTTCCAGTGGCCGGCGAGCTGGATCGCCTCCATGGCAACGCCCTCCTGCAGACAGGCGTCTCCGATCATGCACCATGTCATGTTGTTGACGACGGGGAAGTTGGGACGGTTGTAGGTAGCGGCGAGGTGCTTGGTAGCAACAGCTAGACCAACAGCATTGGCGATACCCTGGCCCAGCGGGCCGGTCGTCACCTCGATACCCTCATGCTCGATCTCGGGATGGCCGGGGCAGATTGAGTCGGTGCGGGCGGAGTGGTATGACTTGAGCTGTTCCATAGTCATGTTCTTGTAGCCGGTCAAGTGCAGAAAGCTGTACTGGAACAGACAGGTGTGGCCGTTTGACAAGACAAAACGGTCCCGGTTGAAGTAGTTTGGGTTCTTGGGCGAGTACTTCATGGCGTACTTCCAGAGAGATGTGCCGATGGCTGCCATGCCCATGGCACCGCCCGGGTGGCCACCCTTGAACTGCTCACACAAATCGGCAATAAGACAGCGGAATGTGCGGAGAACGAAATCGACCTCCTTCTTCTCGGACTCGGTGAGCTGGAACTGGCTGTTGGTGCCGTTGAGAGATTTGGCGGCCACGATGCCCTGAGCCACGGGCTCTGAGGGAACTGCACTGGGAGCCATTTTGATGTGTCGACGGGTTATTAAGGGATGAGGGTATCTCGGTTTTGTGGTTATGAGGGGTAGCAGTAGCAGTTGGCCGTCGGGTTTCTTGGTCGACTGTGCTCGGTATAGTGAACGTAAAGTAAGGGCAATACGTGACGCAATCGTAAGGAGGATGCAAAGAAGCACTTGGTATCAATGAGGTTCTCTTGCTTGGAAGTGAGAGAATAATTCTGGAAAAAGATGATGAGATAGCAAAGACAAAGACGGAGGGCATTTCATTGCGGCCATTTCAACAGATATAATCGTGGGCAACGGTGCAACTTGAGACCCCTCTGCGTGGTTGAGATGACCGCTTTAGGATGGAGAGTGGGATGGCCAGCAATGCGAAGCAGTGCAGTATAAGGAAAGTAGCGCTTAGGTTTTCCCTTTTGGGGTGAGATTGGACTCGGCAGAAGAACAGCTCCAGTGTCACTTGACGAAGCTGAAATTTAGTCTGAGGAAGCGTGGCTAGACTTCTAGAGACTGTGTGTATTGCGTGCCCGTTTTGGTCTCAGGGTCAGCAGAAGCGCAACGAAATACTCGGACGATGGAAAGCTTCCCAACAAAGTTGAGATTGAAACAGAAAATGAGTAATTCTGCACGACACTGATGTGTTCGACTTGCTGCGAGTAACCGAAGACAAGATGAGGTGGGCAAAATGAATAACCGCCAAAAAAAGCAAGAGGAGGGAAGAATGCCGAGCACTCGGGCGACTGAGTAGCTCTGGGGGATTTGATGATTGGACGAAGCGGTTAAAGTGCGGGTCTTTACTTTGTCCTTGCCCTGGCCCGTGCCCGACGATCTTGGAGATTCGAAGCGCCGCTGCAGTACGTACTGGACACGTGCCATGGGTACTAAGGTACCTAAAGGTGGAGAGTACGAGGGCCTCTTACATAATCAGCCCTGACCACTCACCGTCTCGTCGTTCTTCCCCGCCAAAATACCCGCGGTTTTCCCCGTCCGTCCTCCAGAGTTTCCGGAGTTCAAGTTGTGCAGTTCTTCCTGGTTGACGATCCACGACAGTCTCAGAGACTTTGCTGGTTTGGACGACCCAGTCTGACTTGATAAACATTTTCAAAGCCCCCACCAAAGGAAGAATGCAAACATTTCTCAGTTCTCACAACCTAAATTGTGAGCTTCCACAATGCCCTTTCTGCCGGCTCCCATTGCCGTCCCTTGAGATAGTTGTCCCATCGCTTCGGCCTTCTCTCAACTCTGAACCGTTCCATCTGCGGCCCAAACCGCCGCCTCCTTATCGAAACATTGGGCTCCGATGGGCCCCGTGCATCTTGCAAATCTCCTTGGAACTATTCTTGACTCTGAGGCTTCACATACAACCATGGCCGCCGAAACCTTATCCACGAACCCATCACGATTCACCTCTGCCGCAGGCCCATCAGTCCAGTCGAGACCCTGAAATCCTGAGCAAATTCCAAACTTTCCTTTGTGCCATGCTTGTTCTGTTTCCTTTCGTCTCTTTGCCCCTCCACTCGGACGCTTGCCGACCTCTTCTCCTCGGCCCCCCATGTTCACCCTTCACCCCGCCATCTGCCAATCTGGCGTCCGCGTACCGCCAAGAAGCGCTTCCACTTGCCCTCCCACCACCCTTCCCATTACGCCCCTCCATCTTGTCTCTCAGCGCGGACTCAATGCCGAACGCCGTCTCAAGAATTCGTGATTTCTCAATACGCACAACATCCAATCTGGGGCCCCGGCGCAAAGGGACCTTCCATGGTCGAGGCTCGGCCGGCATCTCGCAGCTTCGCACGCTTCACACAACTCCAAGCGACGCCCGTTCGTGTCCTCTCCCGTTCGCCCCGTACTTCCCGACTGTCCAGTATCCCTCATATAACCAACCCGTGACCGCAATGTTTCCCGTGTTTCGAGTCTCCTACCACCAGTTCTCTCTACTCATACTCAGTATACCTTTACCCCATTCAACTTTCAACCTCATACGTGAGCCGTAGTCTGCCTTCGTAGCAACACGCATATTGTAATTCTCTTTCTTCGTTCGCCTTTCACTAAAGATACCCAATCCTTCATTCACTATGCCTCCCGTAGCAGTAAGCGACATGGACCTCCCCGCGGAGCCCGTCCACCCCCTCCCCGAAGCAAAGGATCCTCTCGCCTCTTCCGTCGCAACACCTCAGCTCTTCTCTCTCTCCAACAAGACCATCGTCATTACCGGCGGCGGCCGCGGTCTGGGCATCACCTTCGCCCTCGCCATCCTCGAAGCCGGAGGCCACGCCGCTTGCCTCGATATCCTACCAGAGCCCTCACCCATCGAGTGGGCGCACCTCACCAAGCTCGCCACCTCCAAGAACCTTTCCATCTCATACCACAAGTGCGACATCACCGACGAGGAAGCTACGGAAAAGGTCTTTGAGGAGATTGCAGACGCCGCCGACAGCCGCGGTGCTCCCTTCTGGGGCGCCGTCGCCTGCGCCGGCATCCAGCAGAAGATTCCCGCCCTCGAGTACCCCGTTGCCGACTTTGAGCGGATACAAAAGGTCAACGTCGTGGGTGTCTTTGTGACGGCGAAGCACGCCGCCCGCGTGTTGGTGAAGCGCAAGAGCAAGGGCAGCATCTTGCTCATTTCGAGCATGTCTGGAGAGATTGCGAACAGGGTAAGTGTCTACACCCCGATCTTGAAGGTTTGGTTATCATCAGAGCTTCCGGACTAACACTCCTCGCCAGGGACTGACATGCAGTGCCTACAATACCAGCAAGGCTGCCGTTCAGCAGATGTGCAGGTCTGTCGCTCAGGAATGGGGCCAATACGGTATCCGCGTGAACACTCTGTCGCCCGGTGTAAGCTCCACTCATCCACCGTCGCCGCGTTTCGTTACTAATTCATCAACAGTACATCCGGACCGCAATGACCGATCAGCTTTTGCAGGCCGAGCCTGAGGTTGAGACAACTTGGATGAGGGGAGCCCTTCTCCAGCGCCTGGGTACACCCGAGGACTTCAAGGCCCCGGCCGTCTTCCTCCTGTCCGAAGGCAGCTCTTTCATGACCGGTGCAGACCTCCGTGTCGACGGTGGACACTGCGCCTCTGCTTAATTTGTCTCTCATCATGTGAGAATGCTCGAAAAAGGTTGTCTTGGATAAAACGGCGTTGGTCTCGCGATATCAGATGAGGTTCCGACATTGGAAATCTCTCACCCCTCATTGCAGCTCGCGTTGGAAAGTCCACGCAGCCGTGAGTTAACGCAAATTTAGAAGTGTAGAATGAGTACGAACAGAGCGAGCATCAATAGCGATATTATCATGTTTCCCGACTTATATGCGTGCCTTGAGTCTGGAAACAGGAAAACACCAGACACAAGCACAACATACGATAAGTAATATGGACACATTCACCAAGTGATGACACTTATTGAGGATGCATTGAGCTCTTATTGGGTATTAGCAGAATGCAAACGATGTGTCACCCTCATAACGCCTTAAACGCCTAGTGTAGTTTACAGCAGTCCATCTCTAAAGGCCTACGGCTGTTGTTTGTGCTTGCTCGGACTTCCCCTTTAATCAAGCTCTATCGGTCAAGCAACCTTCCCAATGCTTTATTTTTAACCAAGGTAGCTTGATGCAATAGGTTTCCATCCCTGCTCAGGCGCATTTCTCCTCGTCGCCCTGAATCTTCAACGCCGTCTTCGCCATTTTCAGTATATGTTGTACGCAGGCCTCGTACAGTGGCGGTGGTGTTGGTAGAGAAGATCCTTGCTGCCCTAATCCATGGAGTGTTGTACCGTTGATGAAGATGATATACCTTCCACTCTATCGTAGCAGAATTATTTCCATCCTGATAATTCCCTAGTAGCTCAGCAAGCATCCTACTTCTGCTGCTTCGGTTGCTTGTGGCAGGTGAGTTTGCCCCCTTCATCAATCCAAAACTCATCCTTGGGCTTCCTGGACTCATTAAGATCCATTCCCAGCCAGATCTTAGCCTGGATCACCTCATCGTTGTCCTTCTTACAGTCGCAGGTCAAGTAGGTGCCAGCAGGCAACCCGTCCTTTGGCACAAGAGAGCTGCCGACAGTGCACATGCCGCAGTGATCGCGAATTTTCTTCTCATTGAGATTATTCCACCCGAGAACGCCCTTGACGGGGTCAAAGATGACGCACTCGTCAACGTTGACGTACGTCGGCTGGCCAAAGTTGCCATCCTTGTCGGTACAGCACGCCTCGAAAAAGAAGTCACCGTTGTAGGGGCCGAACTTGCCCTTGTAGGTGCGAGCCTGGATGCAGCGTCCGCCGAGGAAGTCTGCACGCTGATTTTGGCGGTTGGGAAAGGTGGCGAGGCGCTTCAGGCAGAGTTCCGGATTAGCCGAGGGGGGGATGGAAATTTTGGCTGGGCCACCTTTGGCTGAAACTGTGTTGGTCATGGCAGCGATGGTGAGAACGAGGAGAGATGAGAACTGCATTATGACGGCGTTCGGGTTGTTTGAGCTGTTTGGTGGGTGTTGGTAGAGTGAGATGGTGTTCTTGATATGAGTGTGATGTGATGTTGGAGCAGAGCTGTCTCAGAATCTGAAAACGAGTAGATGAGTGGATGGTGTGTTCTGAGCTTCTGAGACGTAGTGGAGAGAGAATGGGATTGATCAGAGAATCTGCGAACAATTCCGGGAGAAAGGCTTTGTTTCTATACCTATTCTCATGGTACCTCTGCTACCACCAATGCCATCGGAGATAGAATGAAGGTTTCTTGGCCTCAGGAAGTTATGGTCAAGAACATGTAAGACCCTGGGAAGCCTGCAAAGCCGTTGGAACCTGAAACCCTAAAACGCCATTCGAATATCAAGGTATACTGGAACGGGTCGACGGGAACAAGTCCACGGGAATGGGCGTCCTGGGGGTACACCACGCCACCTGAGACTCAGATGAAGTCGACATGACATGAATTCCTCCTTCCTTGGCCAACATTAAACTCGTTGGAAGTGTCCCATTAAGCGCGCAACTGTCTCAGACATGTTACTACTGAGTAGTAAAGAATTACATCCTTTCCGCATTCATGTCCCTGATCCTTAGATATACGAACCAAAAGCCTATATGAGGAGCTGATTTGGAGAAAAGATGACATGCGGGGATCCTTTTGTTGACGACATCCGCACTCAATGAAATAGCCTGGGCATAGATGCACAAAATAAGAAAACTCTTAAAAACTCAGGCGCTACATTTCCAGAGACAAGTCAAGCTATCAGAGCATCCGTCTCCATCCAGTGAAGCGGATAAGCTCAAGGTTGACTCCATCAACAGTGGATCCCCTAATCTCACGATGTCCGCGTTGCGGGCTGCCTGCAGTGGGGTTTAGGGCTTCACTTCCACAACTTCGGTATCAACAGCAGCTGGTCGGTTAGCTCAGTTGGTTAGAGCGTGGTACTAATATTTCACCAGAAATGTTGAGTAATGCCAAGGCCGGGAGTTCAAGCCTCCCACTGATCAATCTTTTGCTTTTGGTCATCAGGGTTGCTGTCAAACGCCTCACACGCATCGTGGAGTCTTGGGAGACAAGGACTTGCATAGATGCGGGAGAACTTAGGCTCACAAGGTATGTCAGACTCGATTTCGCCGTCATGAAATGAGTCACGCGTATTGTCAACTTCTGTGGAGACCTGTAGAAACTCGGTTTACCATGCAATCATCAAGGTCTGCTTGATTCATGCCAGGAATTATGTTAAGTCACAGGATGGACATAGTTGTTACATGGGCATGTGGAAATCGATTGTCAAATACCTAGCTCGAACGGTTGTTCATCCGTAAATGTGACCAAGCCTGCGGTAACCCTTCCACCAGGAGACAGCAATGCGAGTATTAATTACTGTATGAAAAGCCTATACCTACTTATCAATACCACATCCGAAATAACCTTGATCCAAGGCTATGTGAATTATTACGTTTCGTTCTTCATCATCTCTCCGTTGTCCATGAAACCTTCTAGTTGCCTGGTCACATGCTCATTGGAGACACAACGTCATATTGATCTTCTTTCCTCGTCGCGTCAAGCTCATACCTGGGTCTAGCGCCATCAAGCTCGACAGTTCGCTCGACTGTCTCCAGCTCACTAGGGCGGCGGGTACCCTTATGAAAGTATTTGGCCTCGGGCTTGCCACGTCCCTCTTCCGTGTCCCCAGTCAGCGTAACTCCCTCTATCGTCTTTTGCTTCCTTTTTCTAATGAAGAGGATCCCCGCGACAATCAGTGCGGCACCCGCCACGCATCCGACTGCTGCTCCAACTTTGGCTCCAACTGGGATTTCGGTCTGCTCTTCGCTGGCCGGAGATGTTGTGCCAGTCGACTCAGACCGGGTGCCTGTGCTGGATGCTGTGCCTGTTCCGGTCCCGACAGATGTTGCGTTGGGTGTAACCGAGGCCAAAAGTGTAGACGTAGCTGTTGACAGACCAGCTGGCGTTGCAGTCAAAGAGCACGAAGTGGTAGTAGTGAGAATATGCGCCCAGTAGTAGCTAAGCTGAAGGGTGGAGATAGATGTCGCCGTGCAGAAGTAGTTGGCGGTGCCGTTGTCCCGGTACACGCCCTTGTAGTCTGGCTTGCAACACCATGCGCCAGTATCTGGCTTATCATTGACAGTATCATTTGCTACCCACATACTCCATGATGGATCAGGGCACTGGGCTGTTAGTACGATACTCGTCTCGGTGTATCGCACTGGGGGACGGCGCGAGGTACCTTGGGGTGAGTATATGCCGAGGACGAGCAGTCGGTGGAGTCTAACAAAGACAAAGAGCGTCAGCAGATGCGAAGTGAGAAAGGTATCAAGATGTGTTCACGAACCTGGGCAGCAGTAGTTCCCATCGTAGCTGCCGTTGCCCGCACACGACAGCCCCGAGGGACAGCATCGAACTTGGAGTCCTCCGGCTTTTCCACATTCAAAGGGGGCATCCTGGGGACAGGAAGAACTGGGAAACCGAAGAGACCAGCCGCCAGCATAGTTGCATTCTTGAGCATAGGCCACATGTATGGCAACGAGAAAGGCACTGAGCATAATTCGAAAATTGGGCCGACAAGGGCTTGCACCGGGACACGCGACAACCATGCTGTTGAACAGAAAGCAACTTTAAACGCTAGCAGTATGTATAATATGTGTAACTAGGAAGACAGATGGACTAATTCCGGAAGACGGAAATCGCGGGGACTGCTCTGATATTCAACAAGCCGCTGGGGGAAACCAAGGGATACGCAGGCGTGTATCTCTGTCCCCTATGACGGGAGGACGGGAGACTACCCCTCTTCTCTTTCAAGTCAGCCCTGCAAAACAGCGACATGCGACACAAACCTCGAATCAAATCGATTGGATAGAATCTGAGATAAGTCTACTTTAGCTATGCCATGACCGCTGCAAGTTTCTTATTGTGTCCTACCGAGGGCTGGAAAGGGATACCGCTATGTTGTGCATATTCATATCGCCTTGTGAGTGGACAGAATATCAGCCACTCCAGAAATCCAGCCCCTCGGAATGCAAGAGAGACAACGATAACCAAGTTCAGGTCAGAAATTAGCGCAGGCAACGGCCTCTAGAGAACGGCTGGGTGTGGCTTCCCAGGCAGCCGCCACCACATATTAATGATGTTTGCCACGAATGAAGGAATACCACTGACATAAATTTGAAGTCCGATGACTCGCAGGGCTTGACTCTGGTTTGGCAACTCTTCATCGTTCTACATCCCTCCGTAACGCCAATTCCTGCTTTGGGAACTTCTAAACCCTGATTCTTGCCATGATACGTGTCAACCTATCAACAATGTGTGAAAGAGGGCAGTTCGACTTCCCAAACGCCCATTTGATCTACTTGAAAAGACACCATTTAGATTACGAGACTCGAGAGCTTGAGTTCACATGTCCCGATTCTTTCAAATATGAGCCGAAAGAAATGGATGCCAAGGCCACTATGCCAGACGTTCAAGAGTTCGGTGCTAATGCTTACTCACTTCTGTCTTGAGGCGTTTCTTTGACGGAAGTAGGTTTCACCAATCAATGTCGTTAACTTGGAAGGCTTTTGACAAATTTTCAACGACTTGCTTGCGTTCCGATTCCTTGATTCAAGGTGCTCAAAGGTAGCTGAGTGGAACCTCTGAATCTCGCTACGACGCGGGTTTCTTAGTCCTACCTGAAATCATGTTTCCCCCCTTTCTTGGATCAAGGCTCAAATACTTAGTTTTAAGTGGTAACAAGTAGTCAAACTCGATCTTCGAGAAGTTTGATCGCGGACTTCTTGCTGTTGACTCTTGGGCAGCGCGTTGTTGAACCATTATCGCTCGCACTCACAGGCTGAGATTGAAGTGAACCATAGTTGACTGTACAGGTTGTTGCGAATTTGGCATCAAATCTTGGCAATGATGACCATCTGGAGAATCGATTCGTCACGAACATTACTGCTTGCGAAATTTGTGATATCTTACTGGTAATCAGGCTTGAAAACCAACGCTGAAGGAACTGACACGATAGAGGAACACGCTCAAAGACCAATGTTGGGGATACGACGAGTGGGGTTTGGGTCGATCTTTCTTTGGCATGCCTCTCGAAGTAAAAGAGACTGGGTTATGAGTTGATACAAACTGTGTATGGTAAAAAGGAATGATCAATATGTGAAAATGAGGCATTGCAGAACAAGGTAGTTTGGCTACTACCTCGTATCATGCACGGATTTATCGGTGAAATTCTCAGCTATCTTAGTTGTGTTCAGTGTTCTTCAAATTTGTTCGTTTCGGAAGGGCCGTCGGTCGAATATGAGACGATTTTATTGGTGTACTGATGGCTTGTAACCCAAAGGTTGGAAGTAAATGGCCACGCTAGGCTGTGTATGTGACTTGCTAGTAGACACCCAACTTCGCTTTTCGTAGCATGTGATCAAGAGACTCGGAAACTATCTCTTCTCTCCCACGAAATCACGTCGTTCAAATTGGCAGGACCAGATGGTTGGTTCATCCAGAACACAACTAGAACGTGGGGTGTTGGTTGCCAGACGAATCCAGAGCATCAGCTTGCTGTGCACTAGCCACTGTCACAGCCGTCAGCCACGAGGAAGATAGTGGCGCTAGAAATGCCATCTCCGCAGCCGAAACCTTGCTGTGGCCGGCGGCGTGGCCGCCCTTCAGTACTTTGTTAGGGTGACCATGCTCAAATCTTCCCGACGGCTCGTTATGCAGCGCGCCACCCGACCCCAAGGTGAATAGATCTCTCTTTCAACATCACATGTAAGATGGTGTCTGTATCCGTCCAGTGGGATTTCATCGGGGAATATCAGAAAATGCCATCAGAGTAACGACTCTACGCGATCCAGGGCCTGGTGACATGCCAGTCCTGCGGTCGCAGCTGCGGCTGAATTGAGTGAGAAATTCAGCATTCTGCGCCGGCGGCCACCATCTTATCATGGTTCGTTAGCGACATACAGGAACCAGCGCCTAAACATTTCGCATTTAGCAACCAAGACCAGCACCTAGGGAGTGAGAAGCACCCTATTTGGGCTCGTCCAGGCTTTAGATAGGGAGATGTCTCGAGTGTCTAGTTGTTGTACACTCTACCGTCGCGTCTGCCGTCTGGGAGAAATTGGTTGAGCTTGGGAGCGTCTGGAGATAAGTGGAAACGAGTTGGTGTGTTGATCGAACGTGGTGAAGATCCCCCAGCCGTGTGAAGCGAGTGGGGCCAAGGGTTCGCTTCTCCTAGTTCTTATCTCGCTCTTGATGTGGTAGGATATTCCAGCCATCGTCTTATCAGGGACCAGCCGACCAAGAATTACCGGTGGTTGCAGGGCAAAAGTTTGGTCTGGGAATGGTTCCGAGCCCCAGGTGATACCGAAGATATGGAATGCTAATTAGCACGCGAGCTGTTCAAAGCCCAGACAAGCGGACAATGATGGCATTTGCGAGGCAACGTCATGATTTATTAGATGAAGGTTTTTTTTTTTGGTTCACGAGCATGTAATTGACCTTGACATCAATTTGGGTCCAATGAAAGATCTATTCTCTCGAGGTTCTCGCAGGGTGCTGGCCCTGTGGCCTTGCGACTCTGGTGTGAGACTGCCACGTCAATTTACCGCTGACGAGGACAGGGAAGAAAGATCCTGAAAAAAGACGAGCCAAGTGATGCAAAGCAATTTCTCTAGTTCATCATGTTGGTTGTCGGGTATCTTGAGGCTGCGTGAGGCGATCGATATCATGCCGCGAGTCGCACATTTTGGTGGTTGACTCGATGAGATCGAGTAATGGATAACATGCGGGGTTTGGGCGCCATCTATGATAAGCTACCCCTGTCAGAGGAGCTAAGTTATCATACATAGCCGCACCGTCCCATGCCGGACAGGCATCATGGTGCGTCGTTGATGAGCGGGAGCCGTTCCTCGTCGCCGTACTAACGCGGTGCCACCTCCAACGCCCCTGATAAGAACATTTTCTCTTCTGGGAGGAACCAATGAGAGTCGGGGAATGCGTCCAAAGGACCAGAGTTTTTATGGTTTCCGGTGCCAGGGCTTCGTCCTCTTACTCGATCAGATTTGACGTCGTTGTCGACTTGGGAGCATTTCAATTTGCTGCAATCACGGCGAGACCGGCAGCACCCTTGTCTGAAAGCGGTTCGTAGCGTCGTCTTGTCTTGCGTTCTTGGGCTTGTCACCCCCCCGTCTGCATTCCGGTTCCCCAATCGTCTCCTCCTCCTTTGCCCAGCGCCAGCGGGATGGAAAAGATGGAGGCGACGACCTTGAAGAGCTTGTCACGCTTGTCCCATGTGGGGGTTTGTCGCAGCGATTTCCGGGTCCATCAGTCGATAATCACTGACACCAAGGTGCCGCCGACTCCTTTTCGTGGAACTGGCGAGGTCTTTTATCAGCCTCTCCATATCCAGAGCGACACCGGCCCAGCATGTGAATAAATATCAGTCGACATCTCCTCCATCATCTCGACCTCGCTTCTTTGTCTGAGAGAGATCAGCTGGAGTTTTCCCACCCTCAACTAAACGACCAGACTTGACTGCCTTGGTATCGCCACTTCTTTTGGGGTGTCATCCTGCAGATCACGACCCGTGTCACCCTGCAGCCCAGTCTTTCGGTTCCCCATCTCGCCCTCACGTGCATATCGTCATCGCAACCTGTGCCGGTCCGTGTACTGGTGTTTCGACAACTCGCCGAATCGAAATCATCCGAAAGTCAGCACATTGTCCCGGACTTCACCCCTCGATACGTCTTGCCAAAGTCCATTTCCGTCAGAGAGAGTCGCCAAAATGGACATGGATACTGCAACTAATACCGCTCGCCCGGAAAAGGCCCATGGCTCAAGACTGGGTTACTTGGCGGACAAGATCGCTGTCAAATCAGAGCCTGGGTTGACCAGCGCTCAGCTGATGGTAAGATCTGGCAGACGAAAAATTCTTGAGCCATCCGGAATCGTTCTAACATTCTCAATTTACAGCTGACGAACCATGATCTCAAACCGTGAGTAATGCCACTGCAAAAAGCGCACGCGACACCTGCAAGAGCATGGTGACTGATCTCCAGACAGAGTTGAACCCGAGAGACGGCAATGGGGACCTTGGAACTTCGTCGCTTTCTGGGTCGCTGACTCCTTCAACGTCAACACATGGATGATTTCGTCCTCCATGATTGTGGGTGGTCTTTCTTGGTGGCAGTCTTGGCTCTGTGTCTGGATCGGCTACGCCATTGCTGGATGCTTCATCTGCATGACTGGCCGCATCGGTGCAGTGTATCATATTGGTTTCCCCGTCGTCAACAGATCATCTTTCGGAATCTGGGGAAGTTTGTGGCCTGTTTTCAACCGTGCCGCCATGGGTAAGCCCGATGCCCTCTTCCTAATGTTGAGCGTCACTGATCAACCCCAGCTTGTGTTTGGTACGGTGTCCAGGCCTATATCGGCGGCCACTGCGTTTACCTGATGATCCGTTCCATCTGGAAGTCTTGGGTGAGTAGCAATGCCTCTGGAATGCCTAAGAAGCTTCAAATCTCATGCAAACCAGGACCGAGAGACGATTCCGAACACTTTCTCTGCATCTTCCGGCACTACCACCGCTGACTGGGTGTCTTTCTTCCTCTTCTGGGTACTGTCGTTGCCCGCCATCTGGTTTCCCGTTCACAAGATCCGACACCTGTTCACAGTCAAGTCATACATCGTCCCATGCGCTGGAATCGCCTTCATGATCTGGGCCATTGTCCGCGCCGGGGGCATCGGTCCGATCGTTCGTCAGCCCGCAAAGCTTCACGGCAGCGACTTGGCCTGGGAATTCGTCAAGGGCGTCATGTCGTCCATCGCCAACTTCGCGACCCTCATCGTCAACGATCCCGATTTCTCCCGTTTTTCCAAGAAGCCGAACGATGCTCTCTGGTCTCAGCTCTTCACGATTCCCATCGGCTTTGCGTTCACCTCATTCATCGGCATCATGGTGTCTTCTTCTTCGGCAGTCATCTACGGTGAGGAGATTTGGGACCCCCTCAAGCTCCTCGAGAGATTCATCGACGATGGCGGTTCCGCTCAGCGATTCGGTGTGTTCGTCATCGCTTTTGCGTTCGCTCTTGCCCAACTCGGAACCAACATTGCCGCCAACTCCGTTTCCGCAGGTACCGATATGACAGCTCTGCTGCCCCGGTACTTGAGCATTCGCCGCGGTGGATACATTTGCGCCGCAATCGGTCTGGCCATGTGCCCGTACACCCTGCTCACAGATTCCAACAAATTCACTACCTACCTTTCGGCGTACAGCGTCTTCCTGAGCTCCATCGCAGGTGTCATGTGCTCTGACTATTACGTCGTCAGAAAGGGGTACCTCGAAATCAGAGAGCTGTACGATGCGCGCAAGACCGGCCCGTACTTCTTCACCTACGGCTTCCACTGGCGCGGGTACGCCGCCTACATTGCCGGAATCTTGCCCAATGTGGTTGGATTCGTCGGTGCGATTGGCGTCGATGTCCCTGTTGGCGCGACATACATCTACAATCTCAACTTCTTCGCTGGTTTCATCGTTTCTGGTGGCGTGTACTGGGGTCTCTGCAAGATCTCTCCTATCCCCGCTACTAGCGACAAGTGGATGGAGGTCGGAGAGGAGATTGATGACATCCGCGTCGCATACGACGCTAGTAGTAGCCAGGACTACGATGAGGAGAGAGTTCTTGGCCCCTCCAAGGGCATTGATGATGGAGCTAAGCATGTTTGAAAAGGAGTAAAGGGTTTAAGCAGGTGTCGGTGGTTTGGATTTGGATGATACCATTGTTGTGCAAAAAGGGGGTGCAAAATTGCGATTTCTTGAGCGTATGATTGAAGCAATGAATACGAGATGTTTCTACTGGACTAAATGCCTTGCAAACACTTCGTGATTTGAGTGAGATGAGAGAATCTTTCGCCCTTAGACCCGATAGACTGTAAATCCTTGCACAGAAAGCACCGAAGCAGTTGTCCCCCAACAACCCTCTACCTCACTCCCCAAATCCTCTTCTTTGCTTTGAACCCCGCTGGAAGGAGCTTAGACAACAAGAGCGGGAGTTCAATCTCTTCCGGTATCTCGAAGAGGCGCATAGAAGTGATCGCATCCCCGAAACGGGGCGACGCCGTGATTACAGCAACGGGTATCGCCAACAAGAGACCTACGGCTGATGGGATAGCCCACGCCAGCTCAGCAGTCCCTCGCACAGCGAGTAAAACTCCAAAACCGAGAACGGTCTGCGGCCACAGAACCCGGAAGCTGTCACGCCAGCTGAGACCGAGCCGATCGCGGTTCTGCCCATCCCATGTGATGGACTTGCCCTTGAGTAGACCACACAAGAATAGCGCAACAGCCAGAGCTGTGATCGGTGCAATGAAGGTCATCAGGAATAACTCCACAAAACTTGAGAGGATGCAGCGTAAACTACCACCATAGCGCCTGGAAGACGTTGTCACCGCCTCGAAGACACCCGCAAGTTTGGGGAATATGCCGAAAGCAGCGAGAGCAAGGTGCGGAGTCCAGCCAAAGACGAGGCTCAGTTGAATGACACTAGGTTCTCCTATGACTTCCTTCGTGATGCATGCCAAGGTCATGAAGACGCAGCAAGCCTGGCCAATGTACGTGGTCAAGGTTTGGTACACCTGAAAGCGGCTGATTGGATGAATGCCAGGTTCGCTCAGCATGAACCAGTACTGCATAGTTCCCTGACACCAGCGTAATTCGCGACGAAGGAAGTCGAGAAATGTAGGCGGATTGGTCTCGTAGCTTTCCGTTTCGATAGGCAGCACCCGGACCTCGTAGCCGCCTCGACGCATGAACATTGCTTCCAGCAGATCGTGACTGAGGATGTAACCACCCAGCGGCGGCTCTCCAGGGAGCTTTGGCAGCATCCAATGCTTGTGGAAGGCATCAGTACGGATTATGGCGTTGTGACCCCAATACAGCGCGCGCGCAGTCGCGAGCCCACCAGCTGAAGCCCATGTTGTATGTTCGCACCCCATGACGCAAGCCGAACTGGAAGAGCCGTGTAAATGCGCTGACCGCAGGCATACCGATGACTATGGTCTGCAATAACCCGATGAGGGGGTTTTCTTCCATGCTAGAAACCAACCGGATGAGTATGTCCCCGCTCATAGCGCTGTCGGAGTCAAGGGTGACGAAGAAGTCGTCTCCTTTGGAGTGGTTGTCGAGGTAGTCTTTGAGGTTGCCAGCCTTGTACCCGGTGTTTCTATCACGGCGTCGATAGAATAGAGGCTTAGCCATACCCTCGCTCAGAGATACGGCATGCTGTGCAAATACCCTCTCTTCCGATCGCGCTACGTCAACGTGATCGGTGTCGCTAAGTAGCACAAAGCAAAAGTGCTCGAGGCAATTGGTTTGCTGAAGGCTCTCATACATGGCGTAGAGGCGGTCGAGCACTGGACCAGGATCTTCGTTACGCATGAAAATCGTGAGCGCTGTCGTAGACCTAAGCTTCGACAGAGGTCCTCGAGGTCGAAAATATGGGTAGACGGATCGCTCTGCGCTGCCGAACAAGATGATACATAAGCCAATTGCAGAGTTCCAGAAGCTGACGAAAGGCCTTGGAATGCAGATAGTTCCGCAAAGCACAATGACTGTGTCTAGCAGAGTGTGCTTGCTTCGCACGAATACGATGAAGTTGATCCAAAGGAACGGGAGGATGGTGATGCTGTTGAGGGCTATAACCAAAAAGCGGCGCTGGGAGACTGACATCCAAGCATCGCGATTTGAGGCCACGACACACATCTTGCGTTTAAGGTATGTTGAGTCGATCCGATGTGCGTGACCTAATGCCGTATCAATAGCTATTGAAAACTTTTGCAAGTCTCAGCTGGGTCCAATATGGAAACTGGGAAATCAAATACTTCAGTTCGAAGGCCTGTAAGAGCCGAGAATGGATTCATGGGCATTTATGGAAGTAAGTTCAGTACTCCGACTGCCGGTTATCTTGTCTTACAAGTCTGAAATCGGGAAGGCCAAATTGTGCACCCAGATAGCTTTCATGGCAAAGGAGGAAATGGGAGATAGAAAATAGCTGTCTGACTCTTTCCGACTGGGTGCTCGGCGCCGCCGCGAGTGTTAGTATCCCTATTATAGGGTAGTTAGTTCGAACCGTAGTTAACAAAGAGATTAATTAAACTATATAAATATCTACGTAATAGGTATAAAAAAGAGGTTTTAATTATAAGTTAAGCTAGCTATAATAATCGTAAATAGGGCCCCTAATTAGCCCCTATATAATTAACTATATACTATAATTAAATTAAACTTTTAATTTAATACTAACTTTCTCTTTTTTTTATTAATTTAATTATTATAATTAGAAATATAATTTAACCTCGGGCCCGTTTATTAAATTGTTTTTTTTTTATTCTTTTTATATAACTTATCCCTCTATTTATATAATAACTTTTTTACTACTTATAAATTATTTTAATTCCTTATTTAATACTTTTTTATAAAAACGTTTATAAAGTTATTTTTATTATTAATTTAATAAATCTTAAGTATCTTGTACTTTTTATATAATTATTTAAAAACTATAATATTAATTATAAACCTCTTTTCCTTCGTTATCCCTAATTTAATAAGGTATTTATATAATAAATATAAATTAATATAAATAACTATTAAAATAAATAAAAAGCTAAGTTAATTAGTAATTTTTTTTAATATTATTAAAATCGTATAAAAGAGGTTAACCCCGTTAACTATATTATAAACCTCTAATATTAGTATATTTCTTATTACTTATTTATTTTTAGTTAATAAATAATAAATTATATTATTATATATAATAAATTCGCTCTTACTTATACTCTTATTAACTAAGATAATAATATACTTTAATTACGAAATAAGGTCGTTATTATTTATAAATAACTTATTAATAAAAACATAGAGCTTACTAATTATAAAGTTAATTAAGTAATAAATAAGGTCTTAATTAAGATTTATTTATTATTATTTAAGCTACTTATTAAATACCTCGACGTTTTATTTAGTTAAATCTATAGCTTATACTATTTTAATATAATTAAAAGTCGCCTCGGGTTAATAAATATTTATAATATATACCCCTTACGTAAGCTTAGCTTTATATTACTTTTTAATATTAGTTATATTTAAATTAATAAGGTTAATTTTCTTACCCTACCCTTTTTATTAAAAAATAATAGTTTCCTTTTTAATTATAAAAATCCTATTATTAAAAGCTAGGGGGGTATTTATTATAAAGACCTTTTTTAATTTTATTATAAAGCCCGCTTTTTAAAGCTCTTTATTTTTTTTTTTATAAAGTTAATATTAAATAGGCTTAATATATTATTAGTTTATATTCTAATAATCTTAAATTAATTACTTTTATACTTAAAAACTAATAAGTACGGGTCGTATATAAAGGTAATTATTAATAATTAATTAATATAAAAATCGTAATAAGTAGCCTATTAATAAGTACTCGATTTTATAAGCCTATATAATAGCTTAAGTACTTTAATAATCGTACTTTCTAAGTACTTACTAACTATTTTTTTTAATAAATAAGCTAGGATTTTTTTATAAGCCCCGTAGCTAATTAAGTATAAGCCTAGGTAATATTATAGCTCTAAATCTTATATCCCTTTTTTTATAATAATATTATTAATACTATTATTAATCGTTAGCTATAGCGCTATATAATAAGTAATTATATAAGTAGTATTACTTTTTTAACGTTACTATATCCCTAAATTACGTATTTAAACTTCTTATATAACTAGGGTATTCCTTTTTTTTAAATTTTATAAACTATTCGTAATTTAAATATATAAAAGTTTATATACTTCTCTAAGTTATAGAGGATAAATTAATAGACCCCTTAATTATAAAAAGTATTTATTTCAATAAGATCTAATCCCTTATATAGCTTTTTAATAATTATAATTATGCCTTTTTTATATAGTTTAATTATTAGTTCGAAATTAGCTTTTTTTTTATTATATAAAAAGTATTAATTACTTCGTCGTTAATAATAAATTATTATATTAGGGCTTACCGTTATAGTCTTTTATAACGTCTCGTTAATAATATTAATACCCTTTTAATAATTTCCTTTTTTTTATTATTTATTAATACTACTACGACGATTTTATTAAGGATAATTTCCTATATTTTTATTATAAGTTATATAGTTTCCCCTAGCTCTTCTTCTTTTTATAAATTAAAAATTACCTTATTAAAATCTATATAATACGGTTTAATTATTATAATTAATACTTTAAGTAGTTAGTTATAATCTCTCGTAACTATATAAAAGCGCTTATTAATAAAAATTAACTTATACAATTTAGCTTATTATTAAGTAATTTCGCACTATACTCGTATATCCGAATTTAATAATATATCTAAATTACCCCCTATTTCGGGCTTATTACTTATAATAATTACTTTATTAACTTACTTTTTTATACTTATTTTACGTAATACTTATATTACTTTTTTAATTACTTAGGCTTATTAATTTATATTTAGTAATAGTAATAAAGCTAAAGTCGTTTTTAAATATATTCTAAATATTAATAATATTAATATAAGCCCGTTAGGCCCTATAATATTATTATAATATTTAAGTACTATTTAGAAGTATTCGTTATTAATAAAATCCGGATTTTCTTTTTTAATAATTTTAAACGCCCTTTTTAATTACTAATATACCCTTTCTATCTTTTTAATACTATAGTACGCTTTAATAAGTACGACTTTTAGTTATATACTATATACTATCGTATTTTTTTTAAATTTTACTAATTTAAAACTAATATTAATATCGGTTTTAATATTATTTAGCGGTCTTTAGTATATATTAATCTATTCCCTTTATAGGGCTACTTATACTATTTTTACTTATAAATTCTAAAAAAATTACCCTATTTAAAAAGATATAGCTACGTTAATTATATATAGGATTAGTTAACTATTTAAGTAAAAAATATTAATAACGATTTCTTAATTAAAGTTAAGCTTATTACGTAATTTAAATTTAAATTTATATAGGTTTTATATATTTATTTAGTATTAATAATATACTTTTATTAATTATTTTAGCGCCCTTATTTCGATATTATTATTACTTAATTACTTTAAAAAGTTTTATAGCTTCGTAACTAACGAGTACCTAAATCTCTAGTATAGTTATCTAAGCTCACTTTTTATTAATTAATTAATTAACTTCGTATTATTAATAAGCTTTATAAACGCATACCCCTATTATCGTTCAACTATTTTAAAATACTTATTATTAAAAATTCTATTCCTTATATTATTAAATATAATATTTAGTCGATCTATATTTTTTAAATATAAGAAAAATAGGGTATTAATAAGTAAAATATAAAAAGTTATTATTCCGAAATACGTTTTTACTTTTACTATACTTAGGGTAACGATTTCCTTACCTAGGCCGAAGTTAATTCTTATAATACCTGCTATTAATATATTAAATATTATTAATATAATCTTTTATAATACTTAGAATTACCCTTTTCTTCTTGTTAACTATTATAATACCTTAGCATTTAAGATAACTTTTTAAAAATTATTTAGGCCGTATTTTTCGCTTATATAAAATACTTATACGAGCTTAGTATTTAAATAATCTAAGTAATATAAAAAAGACCCTTCTAATTATTCTTAAATTTACTTAGTATTTTTTTTTTAAAATATTAAAAAAAATAGCGTCTTTTTTTTAAGTATTAAGAAAATAGGCTTTAGCCCTATTAAATTTGCCCTTTTAGCTACTTTTATATTTATTATCTTAGGAATTAATATACGGGCGTCGTAAATTAATATATAGGTATTACTTTTATATAAGCGTCGCTATTCTACTTTTTAATTAGTTTAAAAAAATAGTACCTCTTTATAAAAGTAATGAAAGTAACTATATTAATATAACTATTCTTATTATCCTTTTTAACCTAAGCTCTAGTTTAAAATTTCTAAAAATAAAAATACTATTATAATTTACGTACTCGTTTAGAACTATTATATTATTTATTTAAGATTTATAAATCTTAAATAAGTTAGTAATCTAAGTTTTTATAAATCTTAAATAGGTAAAGCTTTTTTTTATTATATATTTAAAATATATAAAGAGTAAATTATAATAACGTTTACCTAACTACTTCTTTTAACGTAGTTATAATAATTTATTATTATTATAAATTACTTTTTATTAGCTTTATTTTTTTTAAATACTAAGTTATATCGGCTATTTATTTATATAATTCCCTATTATCCTCCCCTTATTAAAAACGCTAAACTAGCTCCTTATTTATTACTAAAATAAGCTTAATATTTAGCTTTAACTTAACTAATTTATTTTTTTTATAAGCTTAGCTAGCGTTAACTTATTTTTATTCTTAAATAAGCGGCCTTACTTTTTATTACTAATACTTTAATTATTATAAATAATACGAGCTTAATTAGCTAACTAGCTTTTTTTAAATAAGGCTAATTATAATAAAATAAGCTATACTATATTTTTTAACTTATTATAAAGGGATATAATGATCTTAAGGTTAAGGATTTAGTAATATAGATTTAAAAAAAACGTCTCTTAAAAATATTACTAAGGGTATACTTCTTATTTATTAAAAATAGCTAAATTTAATATTTTAAAATAGATTTTATAATAATATAAAATACTTAGCTTAATTAAAATAATATAGTTTAAACTATAGGATTTAAAGGGTTTTAAGAATAGCCTC